AATATATCGTGATATCAATTTTGGCCATATCGTCCAGCCTCACCTTCTCACTGAATGCAATGACCTCAAATTTATGACTTGAATATTCTTTACCCATGCATACAAAAAAGGACCAAGCAAGACTCTGATGTTGTAATATTATCCATCAGTTGAGCTTAAGCTAAACAATGACACTACTGTCTTTTAGAGTTGCTTTACAGCAGAACCTGAACTGTCTTCATAGTTGAGGTTCCATAACTGATTTTTGGTGCTTTTCCACTGCGTGGTACGACTCGGCACGGCTCAGTATGGTACGGCACGGCTCAGTTTGCGTTTCCACTGCAGTTCAGTACTGCTTTAGAGTGGGCGGGATTATTTACATGTCGTTATAGTTGTGCCGCCTCTATTGCCGCGACTCCTGAAAAACTTTTTCATTCCGCGTCGCCCCATCAAGCTCTCGCTGGATCCGCTCCTCTGCTATCAACAAGAGGAACGTCTGTACTTCCTCAAAAGACAACGAAACAGCCACTTTTTGGTTGTTAAAAAAGGTGCGCTTGTTCAAAACAGTTGCGTTCGATCCTTTGCTGGCTGTGCTGATTTAATCTAGCGATTCTGTTGTGTTTGTGTCGCAAGTTCAGTGACGCAGGTAGTGACGATTCTCTCCGGCCAATCCGTGATCAGCAGAGTTTGCACGTCACGTTTTGGTAACGGTACGGTTCACTTGGAACCTCAACCAAGGTGGTACTAAAAAAAGTACCAGGTACCAGGTACTGTACCCAGTGGAAAACCCCCCAAAAATGAACCGTACCAAGCCGTACTGTGCCATGGAAAAGCGCCATTTGTGATTTTTCTTTGTATTATTCTGAAGCTGCTTTGACACAATCTGCATTGCTCAAGTGACATAACTTGACTTGGGAATCTTTAGGCACCTCAAGATCTGATCCAGTTCTAAACAATATTTTTTTTCTAATTAATTCATTAATGAATGAGTTTACCACCATTGTATACATTACTTGTATGATTATAAAGTACTCAAAATCACAATCACAAATTTAATAATAAAATTAAAACAACTGTATGTTAAGAATTATTAATTAAATACAGCTTCAAAATGTACAATATAGCAAATGAAGGAGAACAAAGAAATGCATTACAAGCAACAAACAAAAAGTGCTTTCAGTATCTGAGAGTGCTTGAAGTTTCTCTGTAAAGCTTCCAGACAAAGAGCAGACAGTTCACTGCCTCTTTTGCTAAGCATTATTGCTGTTTGATTATTACTGATAGTATCACAGACAGCAGCAGGTCTGATAGGCTGCATTCACACGAATGCACAGACATATTTTGACATATATGTTTTGTCCTGTTGTTAAAACAAAACTGTTTACAAGAATCACTGAAGAGAGAATCGCAGTGCATCGATTTTTTTTCTCCCAGCCCTCCCCATAAGCACCCATAAATACATATTTAAAACAACAGAGGATACCTGGGGACCAAATTTAGCCGTTTTCCTCTCTGGAAGAGGTGAGGAATTGGAAGCAAAACAAAACACAGCTGTGACTCCAGCATGTGAGCAGTGGCACACCCCTGCGCTTTCCTTCCTCTCTCCAGCTTCAGGTCTAACCCTACGGCCCCACTGTCCGCATCACGTTTAACTCCCAATTTCCTCCCAGGCTGAATCCTGAGGGCGGCCGGCTCCCAGCGGTCCACTTTATCCCTGCATCCCCTGGACGCACTCACCCTGACCTTCTACCCCCGCCTAAACAAACCCAACACCCACCCCGGGCCCAACCGCAGCTTCAGAAGTGGGAGCGACCTCTGGGAAACTCTGCTCCACTTTCCCAACACGCACTTCCTTTCACAAGCCCCCGTCCCGCCCGCTCACAGCAGACCTCCTTCTGTATGGGAATCACACTGGGACGCTTCAAGCCACTTGATGCAAGTTTCCATTTTTAACATGCGGGCTAGACCTTGAAGTAAAAGACAACTCTAGAAGACAAGTATAAAGCAAAATGCAATACATGTATGATTCCTGTTGCTCTCGCAATGAGATCAGTAGGAAGCTGGACTATATTCTAGCAATTTAATTTCTGCATCAAGCTTCTGAAGATGTCAACAAAA